CATTACACGATTGATATTTGTTTCATAAGATAAAAGCTTACACAAACACAAATCTTATGATGTGTTATGATATTCATTATTAAATCAATTAGCTCAGATTTTTTTTGGTTATTAACTTATATTATACCATAATCCATAATAAAATCCAACGATCAGCTAAAGAATGATGATTATTAGTCATGCCATTCTCGAAATATCGAGAACGAAACTTTTTAGGCCAATGGCCAAAATCAAGGGAACTGTAGAGAAATGGAGAAAATCGTTCGATTGTCGATGTGTAGTATCAATTTTTGTTGACAAATACTAAGTTTCAACAATCTAAATCTTTCGGTCACAGAATGCGACACGTTTAATTTCAAATCGAAATGATCTGCGTTACAGAAAACAGAAAACTTTATTTCTCAAAATAAGACCATTTTCTGGTTGATAATCAAAATATACATCATTGAAATGAGTTTCCTGAAAAAGTCTGCTTCCATAGTTGTACAAAAGCCGTTCGAAGTTTCAACTTTGGACTTGATTTTCTAGAAAACTGTCCATCGGATGAACTATTTAAAAGTACCAATGGACTCAGTTTATATGTCCTATCAAAATAACAGAGTCTAAACGCGAAAGAAATTCGTTTTCTTCCGTTTAAGTGCATTTTTTTCAGTTTGTGCATCAATGTGTCAATTGGTGTGTTTATTGTGTCTTTTTAGTAACAACCAGGAATTAAGTTGTTTAATTTGCTATTGGCATTAAACATCTTATTCCGCAAGAAGCATTTAATGAACATAAAATGACACAAAAAGTGATTCATGACAAATGGACTCGGTTTTTATGTCCCTACGAACTAAAATATAAAAATTTCAATGAATTTATGTAGTTTTAGGTATCAAAAATGAAACCAATTGAGCAAAACATTACTTTACAAATATTTTGTCACATTATTTTTCACTCTTGGTTATAATATTAATGGTATTTCATGACGATAAAAACATACAAACAGATAAATATTGAATATGTTGGTATACATTATCATTGAAATGTCTAGTCAGGAAATGATATTCAAAGGGAAAAGATATTATAAAAGATGAGAAAAATGATTCAATGAAGATGCATTTTGTGTTTCCAAGGAGAGTTCATATCATTAGATTGAAACACAGCAAGATGAAGTGGAGGATGAAAAGAAAAGGAAGAAACATTGGAAACTTAAGATGATAATTCTTCATTTTTATCGAGGAATCCCTCTCTTTATGCTTACAGGACAGACTCAACTGATTTCCGATACCAACGATCAATCTTTACACTTGGTTACTTCACAAAATCAGACATTTAATATTTTCTGAAATGGCTTCTTCCATTCAACGCTCCAAAGACATACTCGAACCCAAACAAATCTAAGCGGCCTTATATTCACAGACAAACAACAATTTCCATTGCCTTTGCAAGGAAAATAAAGAAATCAAATCCAATTGTTTGCGGGATGACGACTGGTTTTCAAACGAAGCTAAAAGGTTAATCTAAATTTGAGATGCACAAGCGAAATTATTAGAAGTCAATTTTTGGACTCAATCTGTAGCTGATTTAATCGTGGACTGAACAAACTGTATGACTGTTTAAACGTTAAATCTTCATTTGTAAGCCAAGCAACATTTCAATGTCTTTCAACTCGAGGTCATTTTTAAAATTATTGGTGTCTAGAGGATTTCAAAGTCAAACAGACTTATTATGTTGCTCACCGAGAGATGAATCGATATCATGATTATCATTCTCAGTTTCATCCTTTATTCACTAGACATGAAAACGCTGTTTCAATGCTTGCATTTTCCAACTAAATAAGGTTAAATGATGAAGTCTGTCAAGGGCTCAACCTCGAACGTTAATTTGATTTGGCACACCAAATTGCAATGGAAAGTGTTTCATCCTCGGAATTTTGAATTAAACCAGAATATCCTGACAATTGTCTGATTAAATTGACGCTACTTATTTCGTATAAATGTATACCATTTGTATCGCTTTCAAGGCAAAACATTTTTGGCTAGAATCCAATATTGAACCGTTGATGATCATTTTATCCAATTTCAATTGAAAAATTGTTTTTCCGCTCGAAACGTCTCTCACAGTGTTAGTCAACTTATGATTTTGATTGTAATGATTAACTTTGGTGGTTTAAAATTGTTTCAATCTTTTTGTTACAATTGTAATGGTAACTCAATTTAAGTTACAATGAAAGTTGAATGCTAAATATTATATTTGTGACTTTAAGCTATTCTATGTATTATTGAATTATTAAATTGTAATAAAGTAAAAGCATTTATTAATAAGCTGGGAATGTTGAATTTTTTCATTCACAATCAGTTTAACATTTATTTTACCTAAAAATTGTTCAATGGTTATTTAAACCTCATTCAAATTCATATTGTATTCATAAAAATTAAGAATCTAACTCGGTATCAACACGAATTTAATGTAAATGGTTAATGAGAATCAAAATACACCTTAATTACCGGTAAATTGATTGTTTCAACAAAGAGATGCAGCAAATTGAAATAATCGATTGTTTTGCTTCATTTTTTATCATTAAATAACAAGAATAAAAGTAAGGCTATTCTTTGGTTCCAAATCCTTTTAAAGGATCCTGAATTTTGACTATTTTGAGACAATAATGGGTAATAATGGTTATAACAATACAATATTATACACTAATGGACTGTTGAACAATAGCAATCAAATATGGAGTCATACATTTATGGTAATATGGTTACTTTGGGCCAAGCTTGAAAATAAAGGTTTGAATTGAAACTTAAAACTAATCACTAAATATGAAATAATGAATTCGATCAATTCGCCAGGTGAATCTACTGTTAATAATCAATTAGTTAAACGGGAATTTGATAAATTTCTTGTAGCAATGGCAAACTAAAGTAGGGAATGCAAAGGACTTGGGACTTGGTGGGTTTGTATGAGCTTGATAATGCAGTCCGCATGTGAACACTAGATATGGATCGTTAATTTAAGATTGAGCTCTTTTCGGCTTATCGGTACTTCTCCTGATTTTGGCAAAAGACTGATGGGATGAATAACCGGTTTCCTGACGGCATTAAATATAGAATGATACAAATTTTCTCATACAATCACGATTGATCTTAAATTTTATTACATTACAGCACATAAAAATTGGCGAAGGAATGGAGTTTATAAGTTTTACTTGCAGTGTTAAAAATGTCTATAAGTCTAAAATCGGATTGATCGATTGTAAAGCAACCTAAAATTTTATTTGCCAAAGTAAGTGTATCTTGTATTAGGCCATTAAAAATTACACTAGAGTACTTCATAACTTGGTAGAATTTTGTGTTGGCGCCACCTTGTGTGGACAAAAAAATTCAAGAAAATTTGATTTAAAACAATTAAATTAATGACCAAATATCATAATTAGTTATCTTTAATTTCAGGGAAACTGGCATTTCTGAAACAATTAACAATGGTAGATATCTTTGTATTAAGGTAGACTTCTTTCAATAATAAAATTGCGTCTACAATCGATATTGAGTTGATACATAAATCGAAAGGTATGTCATTTTCAACTAGAGGCACAATAATTTCCATTAATTTAGATTTATAATATTTTTTGATTACATTAATTATACCACAATCAAGCGGCTGTAATTTTGAAGTAGTTTTCGGAGGGAAAAAAATTATTTTTATACAGTTATATTCACCAGTGATTTTGTGACTCGGACAATTGTCGATGAATAGAAGAATTTTTTTATTTTGTAAATTTAATTCATCATTCCATTTACTCAACCAATCATTGAAAATTTCAGTATTCATCCAAGCTTTTTTGTTTGAATAATAATGAACATCATTATTGATTGGATCAAAGTTTTGTTGAGTAAAGGGGCGTGGTTTTGCTGCTTTACCAACAATTAATAAATTTTTTTTATTACCTGATTTGCTAACACAGAATAAAGCAGTAATTCGATCTTTTTTTTGACTGAATCCATAATGTTGTTCATTTTCTTGAATGAATGATCGCTTTGGTTGAGATCGCCAAAAAAAAGATGACTCATCTGCATTGAAAATATCATCATCAGAATAGTTTTCTAATTTTTCAGGTAAATTTTTCTTCCATTCATCAACAATTGACTGAGAAACACTTTTACTTTCACCATTTATCACTCTGTACTTGAATTCATTTTCCTTGATGAAGCGTCTAAGCCAGCCATTTGAAGCTTTGAAATTTTTTAGTCCAATGGATTCAGCAATTTTAATGGCCTTGGACTGAATTAAAGGTCCTGACAATGGAACTCCTGAGTTCATCATTTTTTGACAAAATTTTAAAACATTTTCATCCAACAACTGGAAACATTTCTTGTTCAATCTTTTCCTTTTATCATTATCACCATTGAAATTAGTCAATATTTGGTCTTTCTGGCGACTCAGGAAACTGACGAATTGTTGACTGATTCCGAACCTTTCAGCGATAATTTCCTGTTGGTCGATGTCTAATTGACTCACTAATTTAACTTTCTCGGCTAAACTTAAAGACATATTCACGAAAACAATTAACTAATTAAGTAAAAAAATTCGACAAAAAAAGTGCTTTTATTTCTCATTAGATGTCGCCAAGCTTAAATTCTACCAAGTTATGAAGTACTCTAGTGTACATTAGGAAAATCAGTTTAATGAAAAAATCTATAACCATAACTGTGCAAAAGGCAATCAAGGTTCAACTTGAACGTGATTTTATTGAAAACTATCGCTTTGAAAATTTTAACCTTTAAATTTTAATTTTAACTTAACGGACTTTATTTTCAAACCCCTACAACCAAACCAAGTCTTCGCTTCTAACTCGAAAGTCGGACTTTTGCACTCACTCCCTCCAATTTTAGCAAAAAGATTTACATTTATGTCTTAAAAAATTCAAAAAGCGCGCAAAAATTAAAAGAGATTTAGCATAAAATGCATTCAACCAATGAGAATCGAGTTAATTAAAATCTAAAATCAAACAAAAGCATAATGCTGACTAACGGTTTAGTTTTTGAAAATAGCCATAAGATTTATTAATGCAATTACATTACAATCATGTACAATAATTTATTTTAAATAGATTTTAATTATTCATTTTAATTAATTTGGTTTCAACTCTTTCTTTTGATCTTTCTTTAATATTTTTCAATGTCTTCTTCTTCTAAGCCTAGTGTTTACTGGTAATGGTTTTGGAATGTCCAGTGTTGAACAATAATTCATCAGTCTGGCTTGTTGGATGAACAATCCATTCAGGATTATGAAGTTTATGTTGCTGATGATCATCATAATGATGTGTTGGTCAAAAAGCTATAAAAATAGCCAAAAGTGGTACATCATCTCTCAAACTTCTTAAAAATATGGCCAAAGCCTCTGTTTGGTGGCAAAGTCATCCATTATAAAAGTGTTGTACTCTTCTAACCTCAATGAAAACCCGAATCTAGTTAGATTGTGGCATGTGGTTACAACTGAATTTTTTAATTTATGGACACCTCCATGTATTTAACTGCTGATATCATGAGTTTTGCTGTCATCCCTTGACTCGTGATGTTAATGTCTACTATTGTCAAAAAGCAAACCTCAACGCCCAACAATCAATTAATCAAATTCAAATCTAAATGCCAATCTTTTATTTCGCTTGGTTTGATGGATTGGATAATGTGTAGTCTTTATTATTCAAAGTTATCAGTTTAAATTCAAAGCCATCCAGGATTGTTTTGAACCAGCCTCAACGTTTAATCTCATTCAGTTTTAATTAACTGTTCTGATTTATGTCAACTTAATTTCATATTTCAATCTCAACTATTGACAACAATGTTATTTGGAATGCCTTTTGTTGTAAACAGTGCTGAAAAATTACCTTTAATCTACTCTGTTAAATTAACCTTACACAATTGAATTTGACACTTTAACTTCAATCTAGTTGACATCTTATCAAAGAGTTATTTTAAAAAAAGTGCAATCTTTGCATTCTTTACAATGCAACTCAATTATTGTTTCCATTCCTGAGTTATACTGTTGCTGTTAACAGATGATTGATCAAACTCCTCGAGAAACTTACATTGGAATTGTAAATTGGTTCTCAAAAAAGAGTCCGAAAATCAGATACTGTATGATTAAACGATTAAATCACAATAGAGTGGACACTAGAAATAGCAAAGCAAACTTGATGGTTCAACAAGATTCACTCGACCAGATAATCAACTGTCTTTGAATTAAGATAAACACAAAACTGGAAAATAAATGATGAGAATAGTTTTGACTACAATAGCAGATGAAGCTGTTGCGAAAAAAGTATTAGCTCATTGAAATAAGCTAAACAAACAATTGGGTTGAAATCACGTTGGATTGATGATGGTTATGACAATAACGAGTAAAAATATCATGGAAAGATTTCTGTTATGACAATGTTGTCATAATAATGTGGCTGGTATGTAAATGGCAACAAAAATATATGTATTTCTGAGACTAAATATGACAGATGCAAAAGAATATCAATGTTTGAAAAGGCAGAATCACCATACGTAAGATTTAAAATCTTGAAGCCAGAAAAAGGTTAAACTTGATGACATAATGAATTTTCAATGTGTTTAAACATTTAAAGATTCAAACATTTCAGTCTATAAATTGTAAGGTAAGGTAACATTTGAAGACTGTAGCATAATAAAAGTATAATATTCAAACTTCTGGTTAAATCAGTTGTAAGAGGACGATGTTTATGTTAACCTACAATACTCGATACCAAATCTAATGTTTTTGAAGTCAATTTAAGTGTAAATTGATCATTTCTCAGCTTTAATCATCCATAAATAACTCTTCAACATTGGTGATCACTTTAAGTATTGATCATTCTAAAGGTAAATATATGAAGTGTACTGAAACAAACACATTTAATTTAATTTTCAGCCTTTATCTCACCACTACAGGTTTATAGCAATTCGGCAATGATAAATGGTCAGCAATCAATAGTAAACAAGAAGGCTAATTCAATCACCAAGTTAATTTGAATGGAAAACACAACAAGCCAAGTTGTCCGTGAAACCTAAATTGTCTGTCTAATAACTGTTGTATCAAGGCTCGATCTTCATGTTCAAACATTACTAATAGACCAGCCGGAGGCCGGCGTAGTCTTAGCAAGTGAATTTTTGGGTGTTTGGTTGGAAATAACAGAACAGATTCAACCTAAAAGGTTAATTTTTGCAGCTGAGTATTTACAATCTTTGAACTATGTTTTTGGCACCCAAAAACAGTTTATCACTATTTAAATCTTGTCATGAGTGAAAGATTGTTTTTGAGGTCAAGAAAACGATGTCTCAAAATTATATCACAGGTTTCTGATTATAACGCCCGTCATCGGATCAAAATTATCTTGGTTTCTGACCTGCGTCTCAATCATACCTACAATAATGCCAAGTTTGAAACTGATACTGTCTGTGGTTCTTGAGTTACATTGGTGTAATTGTTACACTTAACTCATGTCTTTGCTTCGCTCAGACTAATTAATGTAATCTCGTTCTGATTACAGTTGAATTGAGATTGATTTTGTTTCTATCCAATTGCGATTATCCTGCTTTTCATTTTTCTTCATTGCTTTTAGGCCTTTTCTGGTTTAAATTGAGTTGAGTTAATTAAAAACATGGAACAAAAAAATCAAGTGAACACATAATTATCCGAATTGCCAGGAAATCATCATGATTGAGTTGCTTGAATTGTATGCTGTTGATGTTGACTGTTAATGGTTTAATTTTGAAAATGTCAACTGCAAAGTGAACCGAAAGTATCTTTTGTTTGACATTAAGCTTGATTTACTGAGAAAACGAGGGATAATCTGAATTAACCAGAAATAATGAGAGTTGATATATTCATAGAAATGGTATTTTGATAATTGAGAGAGAAAAAATTGAGAAAATTGATCAATTTTATTGATTTTACCAATTAATGATTATAGTAAACAAGAGCCTGAATTATTACTAATAATATTATTATTAGACTGGTTTAAGCCTTGACAGGTAAACTGGAATCCCTGGATAAAAGTTATGACTGTGACAATGCAAATGAAAGGTAAACCAATGTTGATTAAAAACTGAAATCGAGCAAAATAGATGTCACTTTGATAAAAGGTTGAGAAAAAGGTTCAAAGCTAATTGTTTAATCCAAATGAGTTGATTCTTAATTTACGGCATTCAAATACAATGAAATGGATAAATTATGGGATTATTAATGATTAAGGTTAATTTTACTTACTTTATTATCATAAGGTAAAGCTGGGCAATTCATTCTGCATAGATTCCACATTGAATTCATTATTTTCTGGTTTCTTGCAGTAAATCCGAAAAGGTTTTCACAATTTAGTTGACCAAATGATCATTGATTTACGCGACTGTTATGCAAATTAAATATAGCAATTGATTAGTTGATGAATGGTTTAATATTGACCATTTGATTAGTGGTTAAAGTTAAATAAGGTTGAGTTGATTTGAATGGTGACAAGCACTTTGATTAGATGAATTTTGTTGACAATCAAGTCGAACATGCAAAACACCAGAAACACTTATGATCCTTTTGAATGGTCAGAAGCCATTAAGATCAATTGATTGTGGACAATTAACAGACTGGTCAACTGTTGTAATACAGTAAGGTAAGGATGTCTGGGTGTGTACATCACAACAACAATAAAATGGTAATGGATTGAAAAGGCTAACCCAAAAATAGCAGGCAACCTTGTCACTTGCTTATTGTCAGAGGTAAACTTTTTTTACATCTGATCATCTTACCTTTAATTATTGATTTGATAAATGAATTTAGCAATTGTTTAGTATTTTTAACTGTAATAACAGTTGTCAGAAGAAAGCTAAATGTTTATGTTTCCTTGTAAGTTGTTGTTCACAGACTGAGCTACTCACAGCCACTGACACTGATATCCTTACAAGATGAGTGAGTTTACAAAATGTTACAGGGTTTTCAGGGAATGATAGGATATCAGAAATTTTCAGGGTAACATGAAAGGGTAAAGAAAGAGATGATTATTGATGATGAAGATGGGTGAAGATGGAGAAGATGGCGCTCAATTGGTAATTTAATATTATCATCTGTAGCCGGTATAAATGACATTGATTTTCAGCCTTTCTGCATCATCTTATGATAACGCAGACTCCAAATTTTGGTAACCTTTATTTTTCAATCAATTATGTTACAGTCTTAACTTAAATTGTTCAATTTGATGTTCACCAGATCTTACATATAGTTATGTATTTTCAAATTAATCAAAGTGTTGAACATGTTTTTAATCAACTTTCTTCATTTGATTATCCTTTGAATCTTATCAACCATATTTTATGCTTTCTCACTTGCAAGTTTACATGTCAAGATTTTTCAAGAGATATTTCAGGTTTCATCATTGTAACTGTTTATCGATTAAATCAATTATACATATTATGTATTTGTCATATGTTTGAACTTCAATAAAATAATAAACTCTCATTGTCATGTAAGTTGTTAGTTTGGTCATTCATTCATTGAGATTGAGATTCCCTTTTGATATTGAGTTAATTCATGATTCTGAAACGAAATTCTGTGTCTTATCGATAATAATGATTTTCACTTTGCTCAGTTCATCATTCTGTCATTTCAAATTATGACAGTCGAAGCAAATGAAAACAAGATGACAGTCAATTGCCGGTCATTTGGATAAGGCAAGCAGTTTTATATTATTCCTTCGAGTGTTGATCATTTTTTCAAGTGATTGTTTTTTTGTTAAAAATTTCATAGACTCCTTCAGATTAAGAGCCATCAAAAAGCTTGTGGATAGGACGAGAAATTTTCCAAGTTGAAATTGAGCATAATCTGATTTTGAGCGTTTAAATAAATGCAAAATTGATTTTATGTTTATAAAATTACCAAGAAAAGGTGAGATTAGCAAAAAAATCAACAAATTTGCATCAAAAGAAGTGCTTTTGAAACAAAATACTTGCAAAAATGTATTTAGTGAAGGAAAACTTGATTAGTCAGAAAATGAAAGAGCAACATCTATGGATAGCCATGAATATTGGTTTGAATCTGCAGCAATAGATGTCACTACTGTCTGTCAATTTGAAATTGAGATTCAAAATCAATTTGCTCAATTAAAGCTTTAGTAATTATTTATTAAGGTAAATATCACAATTGGCTACACAGATGTGAGCTTAGAATACATGTGAAATTCATTGTTTTGTTACAGGATGTAAAGATGTAAACAGTTTACTAATAAAGCTTTCTTGATGAGATTGGCAGAATCGTTGGGTATTTCATTATTAATTATTAATAATTACTGTTCATTTCTTTTTAATTACTAATCAATATTCTCACGATTAGACTATTGTTATTGTTTGCAACTGTAGAGTATTGCAAAAACGGAAAGTGTTCATCACCTTTCACTGAGCCTTTTCTCTTCACTTCAATTGATACAAGAAACTCAAATAATTATTATTATACAATTGTCATCATCATTGATAATGTTTAACGTTTGAAAGGCAAATATTAATACCTAGAGTAACCGGTTAAAGCAATTTTCAGTCGCCATCTATGATTTTATAAAAATTTACATCGTTTTTTATAATCCATATAATCCTTGTACTTGCCTAAATTTTAAGTGCTATCAGTTTCTGAAAGTCATTATCACTAGATGGAGACTTACTTTCTATTAGAAAAAAATTGCTTTAACCGGGTACTTTAGTGTACAAACAAACGTAGTGTGTGTGTGTTACCCATTTGACGTATCAATAACAGTGAACCACTACTTTTGTACTCGTGTTTCAATTTCAAGTTTCTCTTGTTACAGATTACTCTCATTTCCTCTTGTTTTGTTCACTGCAACAGTTGAGTTTGTTTGGGACATCATAAGGTGGAAAAGGGCAGTTAGAGCAGGCAAAGGTTGAGAGAGGAAAGGATTGACTGGATTCATTTTGATGCTGATGCTCTCCTTAATCTTTCACTGTCATTCTTCAACAGTCGACTGTATTGATATTAGATACTTGAGTCAACAAAAACTCATGAGTTTTGTGATCAAAAGATGAAGCAAGTTGATCGTAACGTTTAGTTATTTCAAGTAACTTTTATTCACAAAAATATGAGCCAATACAGTTGTTTCATCAGTTTCTCAAACAATAATGATTCAAAATAACCTGAAAAGTTTGATATCGAAAATCGACCAAATCTTTGGCGAAACACTGAGAAAATTTATAGAAGAAGAAAAGAGAAAAGAAATATTTTCTTCTCTCATCAATCTGATAAGCTTAATATTAACATGATTTTCCATAGCAGTAAATTTTTGACCAGGTCTGTTAAATACGCAAAAGTATCAGTGTTAAAAGGAAAGTTGAAGGTAACTTTCAATACAAGTCTTTCTTTAATATTTTCAGGTAAATTAAGATAAACAATTTAGTGGCTATTCTTGTTGATTATCAATCTCGTCAAAATGATGTTATTTTTTGTTTGAAAATCCACCAATTTTATTTTTAAAACACCTACTCACTATTTTCTGGTAACAAACTGACTTTTATCAAGCTTTGTTTATCATTTTTCTGGTTGTCTCTCCTCAAACCGTTTCCAATAATTTCAATTAGCATTCGTGCTCGTTTCAAATTCATCCACCACATTATCGCTGTCTCAAGCAGATTATAAGAACTAGAGAGAATAGTTTCCAATCAAAATCCATTTTGTCAAATTCAAAGCAAGCCCCAACCAGACAACGAGACAATCTGCATGAGAACAAGTTCATTTCTATCCAAAACAAAAAGAGAAACCATTTTTACCCAATTTGGTCAATAGTTTCATTCAATACACCTACGTACCTTAAACAAGTTGAGGCCAGTTTTTTTAAGAAATGAAACTCGTTTTACCGTTCATCTAACCAATTACGGAGATTCACTTACAACACATATTCCTTTGTGATCAAACATGTTTACATGATAGAAAAGAGATTTACCTTTCCTAAAAATTGAACTCAAAGTATGTGACAATCTGGACAAAAACAGAGCAACAGTTGACCATTCTTTAATCAAAATTGCATATGAATCAATAAGGCTTATAACATAAACTAACAAGAAGATTGAAAGAAAGATTCAATAACGAGTTTCTTTCTTTTCTTTCTATGATTTGTAAGATGAAAAGAAACAGATTTTGATGTAGGAGAGTGAGATAGAGGGAGAGTAAGGAATGAAACTTTTGCTTTGAGAATCCGTTTGGCTACTCTTCTGATTTTTTAACTGTGAAAGCTTCAATGTGAATTCAATGCAACAATGGAAAATGTGTTGATTTAAATTGAATTTCAACCCTTGTTTTATCTTAATTTGTATTTTTGATTCTATTAATCTGTTTAATTTGTGTGAAAATGCTAATTAATCCATTTATTTTGGTACAAATTGTTGCAATTATTTTCCAATCTGTGTTTTTTAATCAAGTGTCGCTGTTACAAGCAGACTTAGATGAACAAGGTAAGTGTTTCTTTTTTTTCAAAACAAGCAACTTTAACAATCTAATTCTTTCCTCTGGTTAAAACAAGTGTAATCAAGTGATTTAGTTTTGATTTTGCTAACCAATTTGAATGATTTTTGAACGTAAAATAACAATTTACACTGAATGTCATTGAAATGTAACCAAAGATCTTTTGAGCTACTGGAGTCTAAAGTCGATTAACATTGCATTGGTTTTGGTGATTGTTTATTCATTAACTCTAACTCTTCGCTGCTTTAGCGATACAATTATGTGCAAAATTAATTTAAATACATCTTTAAACATTACACTAAAATAGTAATTAGATCCAATAGAAGATTGGAAAGGTTGAATGGAGGTTCACAACAACGAGCAAACAGACCAACTTATAAACCCTTTGACTGGAATTTTAACTACCAAGGTATGTTTAATAGATTTAAAATGATCTTTTATCAACTCATTAATTTCCTTTTTTTCATTTTTCCATCAGAAGAGCGGTCTCAACTTCCAATAACTGCGCGCAATCGAAACTTGACAACTTCATTTAACCGTACAGTTTCCTATCAAAACCGTACTTGGGGCAGTGACTCTAAACCTGTTCACTGGGTAGATAGGTATTACCATTGGTCATCAACATCTAACACCTCTAAAGGTTACGATGCAGACATTGATGGTACTACACTAGCACCAGATGATGAGATCTGGATACCTCCACCAGGAAATTATTTCATTCCAGACGAAGATGTTTCTCATCCTTGGTCGTTCTACGGTACTCAACATCAGCCATAATCTTACTTTTACTCACAACTTACTTTTTTGGTTAACTTTATAATTTACCCTAATGGTGTCGGTCATTCATTATCACATTCTTGTGCTATTTTAATTTTACGTTTTTCTCAAAATAATTTCTTAATTTTAAATGAAATATTGTTTGTTTCATTTCAGGTTCCAACTCTTGTGATAGAAACAGTTGTTTGCCTCCAACTGGTGATTTATTAATTGGTCGTGAAACTAATTTAACTGCATCATCGACTTGTGGACTTGTGTTTCCTGAAAAATATTGTATTCTCGGTGATACGCTTAAAAGGAAAAAGTGTCATACATGTGATTCTCGTGAGTCCGCGAGAACTCGCAAAAGTCCATTAAAATACCACAGAATTGAAAATATTATTACGAAGGTTGACGAAGATTACAGAAGATTCTGGTGGCAGGCTGAAAATGGTGTTGAAAATGTTACAATACAACTTGATTTAGGCGTTGAATTTCATTTAACCCATATCATAATGATATTTCAAACATTTCGTCCTGCAGCTATGGTGATTGAAAGATCATCTGATTATGGAAAAACATGGAAACCTTATCAGTATTTTTCTGCTGATTGTGGACGTGATTATCCTTTTGTTAGACAAAGTCAAAGACAAAATTTACAAGAAGTTGTTTGTGAATCTCAATACTCAGCAGTTACTCCTTCTTATCATGGTGAAGTCATTTTCAAAGTACTTCCACCTAATATTCCTATTCTTGACCCGTATTCAGATGAGATAAAAGAGCTTCTCAAGGTAACAAATTTGCGTATAATTTTTAATAAACTTCATACTTTTGGTGATGATATTCTTGATCCAAGACCCGAGATTCGACAAAAGTATTATTATGCTTTGATGAAAATGAAAGTTCGAGGTAGTTGCTCTTGCAATGGTCATGCTAGTAGATGTGTCCCTGAAGAAGGTCAAACAGCTATTGATGGAATGGTTTATGGTAAATGTGCTTGTGAACATCATACCACGGGACACAATTGTAGACAATGTGAACCCTTCTATCAAGATGCTGAATGGAAACCCGCGATTGGAAGACAAACTAATGAATGCAAACGTAAGTAAAAAAACGATTTTCAATCTCATTTATTTTTAACTATCTGAGCCTACTTTGATACAAGTTGAATACTGAGGTCGTAAATCATCTCACATTAATATAATTAACTGTGCCCTTCGATGTATTCAAAATTTGAAGAAAAAGGAGGCCGAGAATGAAATTGAAATGGCTCGTTTAGCCAGAACCAAGGTTCGTCATCAGAACACAATTTCCCAATTGAGGCAAGATCTTAAATTAGGCAATTCAATCGACGTGGATAAAATTTTGAAAGAATCTGTTGATAACGTCCCAGTTGTTGGTGCTTTTGAGGTAACTGGAAATGAGATGAGCGGATCTTCATCAGCCTCTGATTCCTATTCCATGGTGAAAACTCCATCCACTTACCGTGGAGAGTGTGATGGTGACTATCAAAGTGACGGAGAAGTTATCGCAATCATTGCCAACAATCTGCTCAACAAATTTTCTTTCTAACTCGAGTGACACAACAATCTGTTAATTTGGGAGTTTGAAGCTCATCAATTATAAATTGAAAAAGAATTCGTTAGGAAAAAACTGAAGATGGTAATCGTGACAAGAAAGAAGAAAGCAGAAGAAAAAAAAGGATGACTTTATTAAAATAATTATTATTGATCATTTCGTTTTCAAGCACACACACAATGATTACAATTTCCAAAGAGAATGAGAAAAGATAAAAAATGCTTACAGTAAGCAGTAAAAAGATTTTACAAAACGAAGAAAGCAAAAACAGGATAAAACTCATCATTCAGCCCTAAAACTCGATCGTTTTACTTTTTTGAGCTAAACGGTTTTTCGGTTGATTCAGATAGATTAAAACGCTATTAACAAGCCATGAAACAAATATCTATAATTAAGTAAATCTAATAAAAAATTTTCCTTTTACAGGCTGTAATTGTAACAATCATGCAACAACATGTCATTTTAATAGGACATTATGGATAGTTTCAGGAAAAACAAGTGGTGGTAAGTTATAAGCTTCAAGGTTTTAGTTGGTGATGAAAACAAATTAATCGTATTTTTCGTTATTAAACAAGGGCAATGTGAGGATTGTCAGCATAATACTCAAGGAGATCACTGTGAAGAGTGTAAACCTCAGTTCTATCGGGATGTCAATCGACGTATTGATGATCCATATGTCTGCATTCGTAAGTTTTTTGATTAAATTTTCTTTAATCTGCTAATATTCAAATGACTTTTTAATTAAGCTTGTGACTGTGATGAACGAGGATCCAAGAATAACGGTATTTGTGAGACTAAAACTGATGAAATACGAGGTAAAGTTGCTGGTCAATGTCAATGTAAAGAAAATGTAGCTGGGCGTCGATGTGACATATGCAAATCTGGCTTTTGGAACTTGAATAGAGATAATCCACTTGGATGTCAAGGTATTCATCTGAGTGTTAAATATTTCTGAAAATTTTATCTCTAAATATGTACCATTTTTCCATTAAAAATTAGCTTGTAACTGCAATACTTTGGGATCAACTCGTAATCAAGCCTGTAATCAAATAACTGGCGAATGCATTTGTAAAAACAATCTTTTCGGTAGGGATTGCAATTCTTGCGAAAAGAATCATTATGGACTTGAATTGTTTCCAGATGGCTGTCGCCCATGTAACTGTGATCCTAGTGGATCATACGATTTACAATGTAATTTGACAACTGGTCAATGTCCATGTCGTCCTCACATTACCGGGCAAAGATGCGATACAATCGAACCAGGTTACTTTGTGCCTACACTGGACTCAATTTTGTTTGAAGCTGAAGAAGCACATCATAGCAGAGATGTTATTCCCTGGATAATGCCAACTGGAGCTACTTCAACTTGGACTGGGGGCGGTTTTGCTCGTGTTTTTGAAAAATCTTTCATTGACTTCGAAATAAGTGTCTCTCACTCAGCACGCTACGATATTATTGTGAGATATCAACCTGTTGAACCTATTTGGAGTCAAGGAACTATTCTAATCGAACCATTGACCGCAGCTGTTCCAATGCCAGGATCACCTTGCGAGAAAAACTTTGAATACGGTTCAAAACAACTTTCCTTTCAATTTGAAGTTAATCGCGCTTATACTAAAACTGGTCCTTATTGTTTTGAAAGAGATCAAAGATATAGAATAAGAATTGATGTTGGTCTAAGAGTTGGTGGTAGCAAAAATTCAACAATAGCAGTTGATTCTCTAGCTTTGATTCCAACCATGACTGACTTTGAAATCTTCTCAGATCCTACTCGAGAAAGAGAAATGGAAGAATTCAGACGAAATCGATGTGATGAATATTTATATTCTGTGACGAGGTATCAAATTCCTGAGCCATGCAAGAGATATTACCAATCAATGGCCATTTCAATGTACAATGGAGCTCAACCTTGTAATTGTCATTCTACTGGATCAGAGTCTCCTGCTTGTGATTCACTTGGAGGAAAGTGTCGTTGTAAACCAAATATTATCGGTCGTTCTTGTGATGAGTGTGCTCAAGGCTTTTATGACTTTGGACCAAATGGTTGTAGTCCATGTGAATGTGATTCATATGGATCTGAAAATGCTTTTTGCGATGTGGTATCAGGTCAATGTAAATGTCGACCAAATACATTTGGACGTCAATGTGATCAATGCCAACCTGGCTTCTGGAATTATCCAAACTGCCAGCGTTGTGATTGTAACTTACATTCAGAAACTTGTGATTCCAAAACAGGAGCTTGTCTGAATTGCTTAGATAATACTGAAGGTCATAGATGTGAAAGATGCTCTAATGGTTATTATGGCAACCCTTTGATGGGAATTAACATTCCTTGTCGTCCGTGTACCTGCCCGGGTGTACCTCAATCAGGAAGCTTTCACGCTGAAAGATGCGAACTTGATCTTTCGACTAACTTGCCGCGCTGTTTCTGTAAACCTGGTTATACTGGAGATCGATGTGAGCAATGTGATGAGAATTATTTCATCGATTCATCTCCTGGGCCTATGAGTGCAAAGGTTCGTCTAATGGTATAAAATCTTTGTATTTTTATTAATAACACTTTTACCTAATTGTTTTTCATTAATAGGGAACATATGAGATTAATAAGTGTCGTCAATGCGATTGTAGCAATAATATTGATGTATCACAACCAGGGAATTGTGACAAACGAACTGGCGTATGTCTGAGATGTCTTTATAATACAGAAGGTGATCATTGTGAACGATGTCGCAAGGGATTCTATGGCAATGCTTTGGCACAACAATGTACTGAATGTGTTTGTTCACCAATCGGTACGAATCAAGTATTTGGCTCGTGTGACCACAGAACAGGGCAATGTCCCTGTTTACCAAACGTTGTTGGAAGTGAATGTGATAAATGTGAACTCAATCACTGGAATCTAACCTCAGGTGTTGGCTGTGAACCTTGTGACTGTGATCCTCAAGGATCTTTCAATTTGAAATGCTCTGAATTTGATGGACAATGTTCCTGTAGACCAGGACGTGGTGGTCGCAAATGTAATGAATGTCAACCAAATCATTATGGTGATCCACGCATCCAATGCTTCCGTAAGTCAAAATAAATGATTAATACAGTAAAACCTCGGTTATTTTATACCTCGGTTATTTTATATTTTACATAGCGTGAATCTAGCAGCTAGGGAGCACAAGTTTCTCCCCCTTCGGTCATTTACAAAGATTTAAACTAATTTTTTGTTACGCCATCTCTTGTTTTCTTAAAATAACCGAGGTTTCACTGTATTTCTTGTTCTGATTTGCTAAAACAAAAATAGTAATAACTTTTATCAATTAAAATGAATCATTATTTATCATTCTAACTTTCAGCATGTGATTGTGATCCTAGTGGATCCGCAACTATGCAGTGCAATAAATTCGATGGCTCATGTGTTTGCTTAAAGGGAATATCTGGTAAAAAATGTGATCAATGTGCTCGAGGTTACCTTGGATCGGCTCCTCGGTGTGAATCATGTGGTGAATGTTTCGAGAATTGGGACACAACAATACAGCAACTTAGAGATGAAACCTTAAGACTAATTGAACGAGCTCGTAAGATCAAACAAACAGGAGCACCAGGGGCTTATGGAAAGTCTTTTATTACAATTGAAAATAAATTACTGGATGCAGAAATATTAATTTCAGGATCAAATGTTACTGACGCTGATATTGGAAATGTAAACAAAACGATTCAAGAGTTACAACGAGAGGTTGATTTTTTGAACCAAAAAATATCTGCAGCTGAAAGAGATACTGATCAAACTGTTCAACGTACTGGTCAAGCCAATTTACGCCTTGACGAGTTGAAATTGTTGGCTCGTGGTTTGGAAGCTCAAAATGCTGAGTTACGTGAAAATACAACTAAACTTAAAGCAGATGATGTTAGGAGTGCATTGAACCTGACAGAAGACGCTTACAGGCGAAGTTTAGCAGCTGAAAAAAAGGTTGAAGATGCTATACCTAACATCTATAAGTCTAGAAAGCTTAGATATGGAACAGAAAAATTAATCTCATCCACAAATTTCGATCATGAAAAATCAATGGAAAACAATCGAGGATCGTTGAGTGCGATTTCGGCAAAAATTAAACATTTAGAAGACAATATTCCAGATATCAACAAATTGGTTTGTGGCGGTCGATCTACCGTTGATAAATGTGATTATACTTGTGGAGGAGCCGGTTGCTCAAAATGTGGTGATATTTCTTGTGACGCTGCAACTACAAAAGCTCAATCAGCACTCAACTATGGCCAGGACGCTGAGAAAATTTTGAAAGAACTGCGTGAAAAGGGAGAAGACGAGGTGAGGAATACTGAAGAAGCTCGCCGTCGTAGTGAGGAAGCTTTACGTGAAGCTCAAAGAGCATATGATAGAGCTATTGCTGCCAGAAACAATTCAGAGGCAATGAGCAAAGAGATTCAAGATTTATTTAATCTTATTGATGAATTCATGACTGCCCAATCAGCGACTCCAGCTGAGATACGAACAGTTGCTGAAAACTGCCTGAAAATTCAAATATCATTAACTCCGGAACAAATTCTTGATCTTGCCAATAAAATCAACGTAACTCTCAAAAATGTGAAAAACATTGAGAAAATTTTAGATGAAACTGAAGCTGATTTGCGTAGAGCACAAACACTCGAATCAGAGGCAAACTTCACCAAGAATCGTGCAGATGAAATATTAGGAATGGCCAGAGAGGTATTGAATGCTTTAGCTGTTGCTCAAGAAGCTCAAAATGAAGCAGCGAATTCAATCAAAAATGCTAATGAACAATTTAATCGAGCTCAAATAGATCTTGATTCCATTTCATCTGAGACTGAAAGTATTGCTCGACAATCAGAACAAGCTAAGATTAAGATCGAAGAACTACGAAAGAGATTGGAAGGACTTCGAATAAGCTTTACGAAAAATACTTACTCAGTAACTCAAGCATCCAAGGAAGCTGATATTGCTACAGATATGGCTAAAGCTGCAGAAGCAGAAGTTGGTGGCTTGGAAGCTAAGTTTGAAGAAGCTAAACGAAAACTGGCTCAAAAAGAAGCAGATTCTGGCTTACAGAAGAAACAATCAGAGTCAATCAGATCAAGAGCTGAAAAATTAGCTAAAGATGCTAGTGAAAAACTTCGACTCTTACAAGACATAGAAGATAATTACACCGATAATGAAGAAGATTTAAACAAATATGCTGCTGATATTGAACAAATGAACAAAGATATGTTAAACTACCTGAATATCATTGAGGCTAGATCAGCATTCCATAAAAATTGTCAAACCTAGTTAATCGGTAAAAATAATTATAAAAATAAAGAGTCTTAATCATCAGTTATGCAAACTCATTTTGGCTGCTTAATTACTGCATTATTGAAGCTAAACTGATTCTTGTAATAATAAATCATATACTCTGTTTATGCCTTGATCTTTCCCTGTCATTCTTCAACAGTCGATTGAACTTTGAAGAATCCACTTTCTTTGTTTACTTTAATCATCATTCTCATTTCAACAATTTTACGCTTCTAATGCTTCTAATTCTCTCAAAGCCAATACAATTATATTGACCAATAAACTTGTCAAATTGTCGATGAAAACTTTAATGGATTTGTTAACTGTGTTGACCTTACTTAAATAAAAAAAACGTCCGCCTAGTCAACATCAAACTAAATGTTATTATAGAACCAAACAGTTTCACAAAACAGCCGCAAAAGTAAGCTTAATATGTATGTATGCTTAATATTAACATGATTTTCCATACCAGTAAATTTTTGACCAGGTCTGTTAAATACGCAAAAGTATCAGTGTTAAAAGGAAAGTTGAAGGTAACTTTCAATACAAGGCAAATATTAATACACTATAGTAACCGGTTAAAGCAATTTTCACAGTCGCCATCTATGATTTTATGAAAATTTACATCGTTCTTATAATTCATATAATCCTTGCACTTGCCTAAATTTTAAGCGCTATCAGTTTCTGAAAGTCATTATCACTAGATGGAGACTTGCTTTCTGTTAGAAAAAAATTGCTTTAACCGGGTACTTTAGTGTGTGGGGTGTTGAGAAAGTTTATGTAGGGGAAAAACTATCCCTCAACACCGTATAATAGAAAATTATGTTTTCCCCCTAAAATTGAAGCATAAACTTTCTCAACACTCCATATATTAACCATGTTCACTTACTTTCCGTCAATAAGAAGAGGATTTTGAATATATTCTTGTACAAAGTGTCCACTGTCATCTAAATTGATTTCGTCAATCTTTTCAATCCGAATTTCTCGATGATTGTTACTCTTCTTGACCCAAAGACGATCAGGATTATTTTTAGCCTGTTGAAATAAAGAGAAATTATTATCGGAACAAAAAGAGTTAACAAAGCAAGTTATCAAGCATAATGATCAACTAACAAGTTGTGTGTTCTTTTGTTGCTTAATAGGTTTGGAAGATTCATTTTTTGAATGCATTTTAACGAAAGTATTAACACAATTAAGTTGAATTCAGTCAAGCCAATGAAAGAATAAACAATTCACTCAAATCATCAAAATATATTAACACATTGTATAAAGATTGCCATCTATGATTTTATAAAAATTAACATCGTTCTCATAATTCATATAATCCTTGTATTTGCCTAAATTTTAAGTGCTATCAGTTTCTGAAAGTCATTATCACTAGATGGAGACTTACTTTCTATTAGAAAAAATTGCTTTAAACGGTACTTTAGTGTATTAATATTTGCCTTGTATTGAAAGTTACCTACAACCTTCCTTTTAACACTGATACTTTTGCGTGTTTAACAAACCTGGTCAAAAATTTACTGCTATGGGTAATCATGTTAGTATTAAGCTTATCAGATTGCTGAGAGAAGAAAATATTTATTTTCTCTTTTCTTCCTCTATGAATTTACTCAGTGTTGCACTGAAGATTGAACCGAGTTTCCATTCCAAACTTGTCAGCTTATTTTGCATTATTATTGTGTCAAGACGCTGATGAAACAACTGTATTGGCTCATATTTTGGTGAATAAAAGTTGATTGAAATAACTAAACGCTACGATCAACTTGCTTCATCTTTTGATCACAATACGTATACCACCAAAATCAACATCGAATGTTATCAGTCTATGATCACTAGAGCTTCGGTCATGGACCTTCCACCCTTCTATACTACCGCCTAGATTCTTGCTTAAAGTAAAGTCTATGTTCGACCTACCATGCACATTCTCGAATGTGGTTAGCATCAGAGCTGTGTTATGGATAATCAAGCCCTGTTCAATTATCAATTCCTGGAGCAATTCTCCGCGTTTGTCCGTGATGGTTGAATGCAACCAGTTAGTAGTTAGGGACAGTGGGAATCTCGTTAATCCATTCATGCGCGTCACTAATTAGATGACGAGGCATTTGGCTAGTTAAATCAGTTTATTGCACCAATGACGATCAATGTGCGAGGTGAGCGATGTGTTTCTGTTGTGCGTTGAAATATGCCCCACGCTCCACCGTACCAAACAAAGCCATTGCTGCCATTATTTCCAAATCTTTAGACTTAAAGCTAAGCGACCACAACAACTCCGCCGAGTAGGTGCTATCAGCCCTTTGTAGTGAAGCGTAATTGCTTCGACTACAAACCTTTTCGTTTCTCCCTCGTATTTGCTACGCATCTCCAGAAAATCATATTTGACAACCTTTGCCACCTTCCTTTCGTCAAGTGACAGGTTTGGGTCGTCTCCTACAATCTGGAGATCTAATACGAGGGCTTGGTCCGTGTTATCCACCACCAGGTCCGGAATCAGATTCTTTCCCTTGAATTTGTGTTTGCACTCTCTCTTGTATTTCACACCGAGCTCGTCCAACCTTCGACAGATATAGTCCAGGACTTTATCATGTCTAGCCGTTCTTACTCGATGTGTTCTAAAGCAAGTTTGCGAAACATGATTTAATGTTTCCCTTGCATTGCAGCCACCTCTACACTTTAGGTTATCAGGTCCAACATTACGCCCCCGCAATACTCTCGATCTAACTGGAAGAGCATTGTACCTTGCTTCAATCATCTGAACGTAGTCTCGTCCAACAAACTTGGATTTCTTGTTGTAATTATCAATCCACCTGTGAGCTTTAACAACTTTATAGGCTTCTTTTAGTGACTGACCAGCGTACGTCCAGATTCTTTACTGACGTAATGCAAACACCGTCTTGGTTTTGGCTCTATTATGCGTTGACACTTTCTTAGTTCATCCGCCGTGAAAGAAGATGAAGCTAGAATTCGAAAAATCGGATTCTCATGATGCTTCAACTTTTCCTTCCTCTTTATCCCCATCAACGCCATAGATTTAAACACCAAAGGGACTCCCAACCTCCTTTCGCTACTTTGGCATGTAACATACCAGAGCCACAGTCGTGAGGTAAATGGAGCCATTTCTTTACATATTGACGACTGATCAGCTCGAGAGTCTTGATTTTATGTACCGACACTGCAGATAACACAAGCGGATGGTAGAGCTTGATTATCGCGAAGTGCTTTAAGATGTATAATTTCTGATGCGGTCTGATCGGCGCTTTGTCGATTTTCTCACACAAGTTCTATACATTTTTGATGGTACAATATTTCCATGGGTACTGATCGGTATTCCCAGGTAACAAGTTTATTCACCAATGTCCATTGCCTTAATTTCTCTATCATGGAGTTTAAATTTGGGCTGCATTATTTTAACTTTCTTTTGTTTCCCTAATGGTACAATAATTAGAGAACAACACTTATCAGGATTCAATTCCAACCCTTTTTGGTTCGGCTTTCTTAGGTAACAAGATCGTTCTGGCTGCCTGCAAAGTCTCAGGTAATTCCCGAATGTATGCGAAGATATTGTACAGACACTGTAAGTGCATAGCGGTATTTTCCGCAGTGCCTCAACAGAAGTGAAGTCAACTTTGAGGTCGATGCTAGTTTCTGTTATTGTTATTGAATTTAACAAAGTTTCTATTGAAATTATTGTTATTACTGTAGTTATTGTAATTATTATGGTTTTGCGTATTTCTATTATTACTAAAGTTATTGTTATTGCTATTACTTCTAGTTGAGTTGTTAGTAAAGTTTGGGAACTGTGAAAACTAAATGCTGATTAGGTGTGTGTTTAGTACACCTTGCTGTTATCACTTGAACAAGAGTTTTGCACTCTCCTTCACATTGGTCGTGGTTTGAGCACGAGAGTTGAGAAAATGCACTCCTCATGCACATATTGCACTCCTCCTATCAATACCAAGATCCAAGGGCAGGCTAAAAGTTACCCCTTAACCTACTGATCTTGGAACGCTGTAAAGCATTCTTAGCACTGAATAGAAAAAGGCAACAATACACAAGAGGAGCTGAGTTCTCCTCTCAGCTACACTTCGTGGTTCTATCCGTTTCTCTACAAGCGGTTTCACGTCCTTTTGAACTCTCTCTTCAAAGTACTTTGCAACTTTCCCTCACGGTACTTGTTTGCTATCGATATTACCATCGTATTTAGTCTTAGGAGGAGTTTACCTCCTAATTTGGATTGCACTCTCAAGCAATCTGACTCTATCCGCGACTAAAGCCAGTAATCGATATTCCATTAACCAAGATCTGCCACCGGCCTAGAACCGTCTCTGGGAAGAGGGCCCTTGTCAGAGGGACTTGCAGATTTAGTTGAAATAATCGTGACTCTAGCCATTACGCAGCACCGCTTTCCACCTTTCAATGGAAAACCTTTGCGCCGGACTCATCCCTTTTCACTCGCCGTTACTCAGGGAATCTCATTTGATTTCTTTTCCTCCGCTGAATTATATGCTTAAATTCGGCGGGTAACCTCACCTGATCTGAGATCAAAAATATTGATTAAGTTGATTAATGTTTATTTGTGTTGTTTGCAAGCAAGCAACGTAAATCTACTTTAATGTTTGCACAAATTTTGCCTTTGCATTACTTCTTAGGTCTGCTTTAACAGAATGAAATAGCTACTATTTGTACGATTTATACAAGTGCAAGAAGATTCATCAGTTAACAGGTTAGTTGATCACCATAGTTATCTGCAATACGACTTTAGCGTCGTCAGATAGGCGACTAACCTTAGAATCTCATGCTAGTATCTATTCATATATACTGCTTGCAGAGATGAAATATGCATTGTACACAAAATTTATCATGTGAAACAAGTAGATTTGAGATTCTCCTTACTAAATTGCAACGAATTGCAATTAAGAAAAGGAATAAAACATCAAGATTCATGCATATAAATATACAATCCTCTCAAAACAATGCATATATGGTAGTATGCAAGTGTTTTGTTGATTATTTTACATCTCAACTCTCAGACAGATGTGACCTCGGAAAAGACCCGAAAGCCGCAATGTGCGTTGGAAGCTCAAGTGCTCGGCGTGTCCTGCAATTCGCACCGATTATCGTAGCTAGCTACGTTCT